TTTCATGCCTGGTATGCAATTATTCCAATACCCAAAATCATCCTAAAACAAAGGATATTTGCTTGTCTCTGTTGTTCGGATTCTTCAAAAATGTTGTCTGATATGTTGGGCTTTATAAAAGTAGTTTCATTTTGAAGGATTGAGCAACATGTATATTGCTAGCTAGATCTTATATCTCTCTAGCTATATATTTTTATGTGCATTCCAAGTGTATAGAATAAAGTGTTCATATTAAAGACGTTTACTGTCTATTTTTGATTTAACACACTTTTTATTGTAGTGTTCCAATAGATATTGGAACTTTCTCTTAACCATAGTGCTACTATTCGATTACATTTGTGTTTAATGTGTTTTTTCGTGTAGAATATATAGAGATTCTCTAAGTTTGATATAGAATATAATTTTCTTTCTCTGATTAAAGGTTGTCCAGAGAAGACTAAGATACAAATATGGTAGTAATTAAGCTTCAATCCAGCATCAGTTAAAGTTAAACCAATTTTGAGCTGAGAAAAGGGCTATTTTCCCCAAAGTAAAAAATACACATTGGGAAAAATAAACATAATGAGATACACTAGTGTGTATATGTATATATATTGAGAAGAGAAAGGGGAATAGTTGTATTTTTTTGGAATTCCAATGAAGAAGTATTTGTCTTTGGTATGAAATTTTAATTACTATGATATGCTTCTACAAGTTTGTCTTTTTCATGAATTTCTTTCTTGTGACCACATTGTGTTTATAGGGAATTAATTAGTTATGTCTAATTTATTGGTTGTTTATCAACTCCATAGTCACTTTTCTCCTCATTATCCGTTTCTTTGCCGGCTAATTGATGTCAAAATATAAATTATATATAATGAAGTTTTTCTTTAAACACCACCAATGATATTATATCCAAAGTTAGCTAGAATCTTCATTTTTAATGTCGTATTCGTAGCAATACAGTAGGATATATGATTGTAAACTTGTAGTTGTGAATGTGAGTTTCAGATTTATATCAAATTTAATTGATTAATATTGAATACTTTGATCAAAACAGACAGAGAAATTCGAAGCAAATATCTAAAACAAAAGGTTAATGAAGAAAATGAAATAGCTTGTATATAGAATTACTATATATGTCCGTTCTTTTTTTTTTATCTTCTTTTCGTACTCTCCTCGAAATTAAATATCTTATAAGTTTTTAACATAATATCTCATAATTTAGCGTGTAGCTCTATTTTTTAATTTGTACATTTGAATCATTTTTTTAGTGATTTTTGCAGGCATATTTTAAAATTCATATTATGAAAGATTCAACTTTTAGATCCACACTCATACATCTAAGTCTAAACAACTTAGATTTTACCTTCTATAATAGATCAATTATTTTGTTGTAGATAATTACTAATGCGTAATATTCAATGTAAAAATTCAAAAGTTTTTGAGTGATTTAATGATATAAAATCTTTTTTTGATAGTTGTTTATTACGTTAAACCCTATGCTATGTTGCATTTGAAATATTACACTATGATTTAGTAACAATAGATATACTGTTCTAGCGATAATACTAAACAATTTAGATTTTACCTGCTATAATAGATCAATTATTTTGTATAAGTAATTACTAATGTATAATATTCGACATAAAAAGTCAAAAAGTTTTTGAGTGACTTGATGATATAAAATATTTTTATATAGTTGTTTATTATGTTAAACTCAATGCTATGTGTCCTTTAAAATATTACACTAAGATTTAGGAACAATAGATATACTCTTCTAGCGATAATATTCATTGTCATAACAATAGTTAATGATAATAAAGTTAATATTGTTATTGTATTTAGTCACTAAAAATTTTAACGATATTTGTATAAGGTGCTTGTTATAAATATTCATATTTATAATTATCGCTAAATATAGTATACTAATAACAATATTACTGTCACTAATTTTATTATTTATTTTTTTTGTTAGAGGATAACTCTTGGACAATATTTTAATTGTATTAGTTTGTGCTACTGAAAAAGTTAACGTGTTACATTGAGTTTTATTAAATTGGGAATTCATAGACAAACAAAGAAATTATGCAATAAAATGTAGGCAGTACCCATGAGTACTTATCACTATACTTGTCCCCTTCTTGTATGTATAAAGTTCAACATAATTCTGATCAATTTCTTCAAATTTACACTCTTTTATATTTAAAAAAATGTGTAGAGAGTTTACAGAAGAAAAAGGATTAAAGAAGATGGTTATTTTGTACATGTGTTAAAAAGTATTTTTATTTTCTCATTGTTAAATAATTGAGTAGGTATAGTAGCATTGTCCTTTTTCAACTTTTAATGCATGTGACTATCTTATAAGTTAGGGTTCATCAAGTTGTTACTTTCTTAAGCACATCCATGATGTAGGTCCTTTTATCTTGCATGTCATGAAATCTATTAGATCATTTTGTTTACCCTATGCATATTGAGTATGAATTTCCCTATTTTAAGTGGTTATAATGAGTTAAATCCAAACATAACAACTCCTAATTCGTAAAATTGCAAATTTTTTAATAATTATGGTGTATGAATCAGTATTTGTGCATCTCAACTAATTCCAACTTTCACCAATAACAATCTACAGCTGGTATGAAATAACTCCATTCGCCTCAACTAATTTCAACTCTCACCAGTAACAGACAACTGGTGTCAAATAACTCTATCCACCAAGGGTGAGACAAATGAAAATTAAGAATCTCCAAGTATTTTTTGTCTCCATGAAATTTTGAACCAGAAACCTCATTGTTTGCAATCTTCTTTAGCAACTGAAATTATACTGAAATATAACTTATGAGATATTATTATAAAAAAAAATTATGTTACATTAAAACTTACTAATATTATGAATAACTCTTTATAATAATATAAATTTAAACCTTAGCTTATAAGCAATTGACTAGTGGGTATTGATGGATATACATGTAAAAGGAATAATCTATGATTACTATAATGATGAATATAGAAAATAATTGTTCCTCAAATGAATAGTAATTAAATGAAAAAGATTATTGTGTGGGCATCTATTGATTTTGTAGATGATATAATAACATTGCACTACTAGAAGCCGAAAAGCAAATAGGATTGCACATGTGACATGTTCATAATAACCTTTTATGCTAAAGACACATTCACACTAACCAAATCAAAAAAGATACATACCCCCAATCAATTGGAATATATCCTTACCTTACTACTCCTAGACAAGGCAAAGAATCTTTTAATAGCACGATTTGTTCTTTAAAAAGATTGATCTTTAATTTTATTTTTAAAAATTGAACGTATAGTTTATATGAAATAAATATTTTAAAATCGTAGAATATACTTGTAAAATATTATAATATAAAGAGATAAGCTTATACTTTTTTTAAAAAAAACTATTTTCCTTATCTTGAATTATAAATGACCCAGCAAAATAAGATAACTTTATATTATATTTTTATATATAAAGAAACGAATTTAGACCAAACTCAATCCAAAAAGCTAGCTCATAAAATTGATGTTACTCAACTCTATATAAGGAGTTGAGTCCATCATTTTCTCATCTCACCAATATGGGATAATTTAACTCTTAGTCTTACGCCTCAGACATTTCATTCGTGAATAATTAAATATGGGGGTCAACATCAATAAATCATAAATTGGGATGGGTTTAACTTGGATTAGCTTTTAGGACTGGACACAATGACCACTTATTTAATTACATGGTATTAAAGTACGATCCATCTCACCAAATATTGAATAGCCAAATTAAATTGTTCACGCTTGAGTGTCCAATCCTAGACGTGAGAAGAGATGTTGAAGAATAAAAATAACTCACATTAGACCCAAAATTCATTTCTTTGCACTATACAATAAACCCAACATTATTTGTATTTAATTTATAATTATATATATTGATATTGTAAACAAAAAAATTACCCTAGCGATCAATAAATTTTAACTTTTTTTAGTTTCTCACCTGAGTTCGATACCCTGACTAAATATGGATTCGCATTAGAAAGTCCAACAGTGAGACGAAGGTAAAATACTTCCTAACAGAGACGACTTCGTACCTAAAGAGATTCAAAGAAAAAAAAACTCTGACTATATTAGTGGATCGATTTAATTTTAACTTTAAAAAACCAACTCAATATCATAGCTATTTGTCATGAACGATGGGTTACTAATTCTACTTATTGTGGACGATGGCTTTTAAATGACTTTCCTATTTAGTTCTTTTTTTTATAAAATAAAAAAAAAAAAGATTTTTAAGTATTGAGCCGCAAACTTTTTAAGAAGGGGAACCAATCTGGCTTTATGCCTAACATATAAAGATGTTTCTTTGAATTTATTAATTTTCTATGGACATTAGAACTTCAATAAATTTGTATTAAGAACTCTTTTTTTAAAAAAGAATGGTATAAGTATCTGGAGATGATTGATAAGTGATCTTTGGACTTGTTGAGGAGACATTGCATTTGAGGCTACCAACAAAGAGAGCTTTTAGACTTTGCACTCTAACTTTAGCCATAAAAATGATAATTTAGGCTAATGTTGCTCTAAAATTGAATAACGGTTAAAGTCATTAATATTTATTTTGTAGTAATAATAGAATTGTTTATTCTTAAATTGGTAGGATTTTTTAAAATTAGATTAGTTGAATTTGTTAATGTAGCTCAAAGATATTGTAAAATTAGATCTAATGCTTAGCATCTGATGCGAAGGATTGTTCAAGTCTTATAAGGAGTTCACTCATCTCATTAACCACCAATGTGAACCTTTTTTCACTCGAAATGAACAAAATAAAAATCAATACGTATTGCAGCATTCGTCATGAGATGACAAAATGGTCAACATCTTTTAAGATATGCTAGCTTTCTTGCAACTTTTTAACTCGTAAATATTTCAAGGCTCAAGCATCTTCAAAATTGCATTAGCTTTACCTTAATGGATCTCTCCACACAACTTCCTTGATGCTATGATAACCAAGAAAATAAAATAAAATAATTTATATCCAGTAAAGTTGCAAAATGTAAATTAAAAAGAGAGCCAAAAAGTGTTGTCCATGAATATACAGACAAAACACTATATGGTAGTTTGTATTGTTCTATACATCGCAGCTGAAGGTCAAGAGATCAAAATAAATATGCCACAGCAACTCCATGAAACCTTCAGATTTTACTCATTTACATCCTTTTCTGCAGTTCTTTTGGGGTGTCTTATTTTACAGTTTGTCATGTAACAAGGGAAAATGATTTATATCATTATAAGGTTACAAAGTGAACTAATTAAAGAATGACACTGAAATGGTGAGTTGACAATGAAATCCTGCAGTAAAGGAAAGACGGAGGGAAGTAAGAAATTTCATTTTGTTTAAGCAAACTGTAGATGGAAGGAAGTAGAGGATGAGCAATTACCTTTCTCTTCACCATACTCGTGGCTTGAAAAACAATGTTTAAGTAAACGCAAAAATCCTATCCACAATTTTTGTCCGGCATATGGGACACTCGAAGCAGGCTAGGGAACATGACTTGCACACTGCAAAATTCATGCCATTAAAACAGCTTATACAGTGAGAGATAAGAGATTACGAGCCTTGGATGAAAAAGGAGTCTTACAGCAAAAATGGCGGCATGGTAGAAGCATTGCAGTAGTGGGTGATTCAAAACACACTTTACACACATGTGAATTCGCATCACCATTCCCCAAGTGCCTATGTTCCTTTTCCTTCATCTCTTGCATTCGAGCCTGCAGGAATAGGAAGTAGATCATAGAACTTTTGAATTTTTGAAGTAACCAAGAGACATAAAGAAACATTCAAGAAGTCAGTCATTTGACTAATTAAAATTTGTGTTTTTCCTGATCAAACTAACTTCCAAGTGCTAATTTCTATTTTCTCCAACGCTACAAATAAAAATCTACAACTCAATGAAACATCAAGAGGGATGGAGTAGCATAAAAAGTCAGAGAGATAGTCATACAGGACAGTAAAAATAAGTTAATGTTGCTGCTCCTACTTGTGATTCTATGAAAAATTTCAGAATTAGTACCCTGTGATGCCAGGATATCGGTAACTAAACAAATAAAAGGAGAAAATTTAGTTATAAAATGAACAAACTGATACGTTTGAACACAAACAAGTGAGGAAGTATCTGTGCAGACAAGTGAAAAGAAATTGATATTAAAATTACCTTCAAGCGAGCAACAAGTGGTTCTTCCTTGGGACCCTCAGCAATGTCAGTTGTATGATTCACGGATAGGCTATCAGCGAGGTTTGGCTCCTTTTGGTTGATATCATTGATTTTTACATCGTTCAGCCTGTCTTCTACATTCTGCCTTTCAGCTGCCAGCTTTGAATCTTGCCTAGAACCAGCCTCTTTCTTCAGCTGAGCAACAAGCACCCACATATTTGCTAAATCGTTTTCCAAGGCTGCCTCCCTTTTCTTTCCTTCTTCAACCTTTTTCCTGTACTCATCTTCCACAACTTCCTTCTCAGACAAGACAGCCTCCAGAGCTGCCTCCCGCTGCTTTCTGGCCTGCAACTCCATCTTTAAATCTTCAGGATCAAGGTCCCAAGTGTTGAAGTCATCATGAATCGCTCCAGGAATTTCACTTCCTCTGCCAGTGATCCGACCTCTACGCCCTGTTCGTAGGTTTTCACCATGCTTTCGGTTTCCAACATTACCTGTTAGTGCAATGGAACTTCGAGAGTTCAACATGTCTCGAGCAGCCAACAACTCTTTCTCTAGTTTTCCATTTTGTAAAGAGAGCTTTGTGACTTCACCAGCTAAGTTTTTAAGCTCAACAGCAGCAGCAGATGCTAATTCTTTAGCATACAAAGCTTCCTCAGACAATTTTTGGTTCTGTACATGTAACCCACTATTTTCCTCTACGATCTGGACATGTTCTAGCCTTAGTTTACCATTCTCAATATCCTGCACAAATTGTAAAACAATATATAAGATCTGTGATACAAACTCATACAGAGAAAATGCAATGTTAATAATGTGACTGTGAGGTGAAGACAGAAAAAATATGCATAACATCATATGAAGAAGTTAGTAAGATTCAATCTGATAATTGGGATGGATCCAACTAACAGAATCAAAGAATTCTAACTAGAAGTACACGGAACAGAAAAATTGCAGATAGTTAATCACAACAAAGATTTGAAACAAACTTTGCACCAGAAAAGCATAAAGCATTTGATGAGGAAAGAAAGAAGAGAACAGGTACACCTGATAGATGGACTTATCAGATCATTCAAATTCCTCTGACGGACATATCTTAAAATATCTTTTGTCTTGACGTATCATCATGTATTATATTCTAATCTTAAGGACCTCCAAAGCATGAATAAACAAGGTCTCCACTAGTTACATTGGTGGATTTACATAAAGTGAGTTTGAATAAGATTCTTATGACCTTTAGGGGCTGTTTACTTTTATACGGGTATTATATGTAGGATTTGTTTCTGAAGTGAATAATGATAAAGGGATTGTTATATAATGCATAATAATGTTACACCAGAGAACAATAATACAAGGAATATTGTTAGTGTTCACTAATACAAGGAATATTGTTAGTGTTCACTTGAATTCATTTAGGTGCAAGGAGGTTTGTACATGTGACATATCTAGACTCTGGAGGAATCACAGGTTCACATGATCCCTCCTCTTGTGTAACTTATCTTTAATTAAAATATTGATATGACTCCGAAAAGAGACCATCTATAGAGAAATTATATTAAGAAAAGAAAAGAAGTATGTTCATCACATCGAAGACCCATGCAACATAGACTGTCAGGAGTTTGGTTTAAGGCCTTGGAATAGACACTATCTGTATCAAAAGTTTGTTCCAAGGGCACCAGTCCACTCAAGTCCATAGGTAAAGATGAGGCCCAAGTCTATAGCTAGAAAAATGATATAAAAATCACCTGGGACTGAATTTTCTTTCTAAGTTCATCAACATATTCAGCAGATACACGTTGTTCCACTGATGGGAATGACTTCTCAGCCTTGACTGAAAGCAGCTGCTGCTCAAGATGATATATCTTTTCCTGCAGTTCCTTGTTCTCTGAACACTGCAAACAATGAAAAGATAACAGCCACATTATTCTTGGGAAAAAGTAACTACTAGCTTGAAATTCAATATAAGATGAACAAAATAGCAGTGACAAATATTTGATTTGCAGTGAAGATAAATAACACTGCTATCTGACCTTGTTTTGCAGCTCCTCCTGAAGAATCCTATTGTCTGCTGATTTTATCTGCATCAGAGGATCAACTTGTTAACAGCTCGGATAGAGATAGCTACTCAGATTGTGACAACAATGAAAAATTTCTTAGATTTGTCTTCTTTGTGTTTTCTTAAAAGGAAAAAGGCGTCAATAAACTCTTATCTGCTACTAACCTCAAGCTCAAAGCCCGTTTGACTATACTGTGTCATCAATTTCATCAGAGTCTGCTAAAAGACAGAAATATGAGACACACAAATTTGAAAGAAAAAAGAAAAACAATGAGGCCGAAAAGGATAACACGAGGTCACCTGCTGCATTTCTACTAACGATGCTTTTGAAACTGACGCTTCACCGTTTTCAACAATGCGCTGTTCCAGCATCCTCATTTGATTTCTCTTTTCTTGGATTTCACGCTCTAAATTTTCAATCTGTCATAGGGGTTAGTATAAGAGTCTTGATCCCAAGCACAAATACACAATTACATAAACAATATAAACAAATTAGTAACTTCATTATACTGCTGCATACATAAGGAATAACAGAACATTAATAAAAAAAACATCTCTACTCTTCCTGTGATTATGGCGTGAAAAGCCTGGGAACTTCAAATATTGGAGATGCTTTATGATTTTGGTAATGACACTAGAAGAGAATAAGTTTGAAACTTAACAGAAACACAGAACCTAGAATTTTGTGATATGAATCAAATGATAAATTTATATCCAACAGTAGAATAGTAGAAAGACTGCCTTTTGGAAGAAAATCTAAAAGAGACCCTAATTAGCTGCAGAAGGTTATAGCAGTCAAACAAATCATTGTCCCATTCAACTTGACCATCAAATTGTGTTGAGGATTGAAAAGAATAACAGCAGATATATACTTGGTTTCTTGAACTCTCAGGATCATTTACAGATTGCTCCATCAACCGCTTCAATGTACTGCTGCTGAATGCAATCTCTCCGCTAAGCATCTTAACTTGCTCAGCCAGGAGGTCCATTTCATCTGACATTGAGATACCTTCCTGTATTCAAACAAACAGGCAAAATAATCATGCTGCCCCACATACAATTTGCTCAACGCATCAGACGAAGGACTAGAAAGATGTTCCAGCTATACTAACTTTAGATATAAGCAAATAAGCATTTCCCCAAACCCAAAGAATCATTTAGTCAATTGAAAGTTAAAAGTGGATTATAACACTATTAGATCATATTGAAGGAATCAGTAGAAAAGGAGATCGTGAACGAATTGGGAGAGATGGGATCGGGGAATATCAACCAATAAATCAAAGCTAGTTGAGGTGAGCTATATAACTCGTTTAATAAATTCTCATTTATAGGGGCCTAGGGGATTGTCAATTTGATTGGGTAAATTGTCTAGTTGGTTTGGTATGTACTATGTAGATGATATGTGTTTGTAAATTTCTTTCAAAAATATGTCTTATTATGTATACAATTATTATTATTAAAGTAAAAGAAATAACAAACAAATTTAGGTAAGAAAAAGAGTGACAGCTGATAATCAATCATGCTTAAGGTGGTGAGTGAGATGGCATAAGCTGTGGTGAATGCTAAGTCCGAGATAAAAAGGATAAAATAGTATTTTCATGTCGCATCCATGAGATTGTGATCCAAGAAGTCGAACGCCTAACATGTGTAAGGAGCTGTATCCCCGCGCAAAGCTAAACCAAATTCCTGATAAGGGAGGCATGGTTTATTTACCGTCCTTATCCCATTCTTTATCCAAAAACCAATTTCCATTAGTCAAACATGATTGGCACATAAGAAACTATCATATAGTTACAGAACCACACAACTTCTCAATCCTGATACAAAATTGTTGAGTAATCAAATTTCATATCTGGATCGATGTTTGTCTAATTTGAAACTTATGTAAGATATGTAAATAGCTAATGCAAATTCTGGACAATGAAAATGACCTTGGCTGGCATTTATTGGGGAAATACATGATTGAGGCACATATAAGCCCTGAAGCTAGGTGCATCAAAGGTTAAGCATTTCACCTTGCTTAGGCGGTGCTTCAGTACATGCACCAATATGCTAAGGCGTGCTCCTCAGAGCCAAAGCTATGCTTTCAGAAGTGGCGGCACTAAAGGCAAGTATAAATGGTAACTAAACATTTTAATTATAACGCAAACTAAATGGATGTTTATAGAAATGATTATGAAAATTATTTAAGAAATTTGGTGATAGAAAGTAAGAAAAAAGTTGAAAAAAACTTAATTTTGCATCATGCTTAATCTAACCAAATTTGAAAATGAGTTCTGAACTTGATTGACGTAGTTTTGCTCATACATTTCTATTCATTTGACCTTACAATGCTATTTGATAATAGAGTTGCTTTCCAAATACTCTTTTGATTTTTTTTTTCATTTACACCGCAGAAATGTGTGCATTATTTTGTGCTTAATGCTTCAGTAGACCTCAGCACTGTCTTAGAAGTTGCAAATTTTCAGTAGAATAAATTCACCTTAATGAATAAGATCAACTGCAGTGTTGACTTGCAAATATTTCGAGTCCATGAAAAGGATTAAGATTCACATGCACCCAGTTGGCATATTGAATTATGAACAACTAAATAAGCAGCTTCCACTTAAAAGTGAATAAATTGTGAAACAAAGAGAAAGCAGAGACAACATACTATGGTACTTCCAGCCTGTGATATATCATCATTCCACTTGCTAGAGGATCTTTGGTGTTTCAAATCAGAACTATCTGGCGAAGGGTCTTTCTGATTCTCGCTATCTGCGAGCACAGAACTGTCCATTTTCTGAAGAGATGGTCAAAAATAGAAGATTTCAATACACAAGAGTTCTATCCTAGATCAAATAAAGGCAAAGAATGTCTGTCCAAATAATAACTGGAAGGAAAAGAAACAATGAGAGGAATAGTTTATATTCCATTTCAATAATAATGAGTATAGCCAGTTGAATGGAGGATACAGCAATGATTAGATAAACCATCTTTGACAGTGCATAACTAATTGCAGAATCTTAAAGCAATCATCTAGGTTAAAATCTAGAAACTATGCACAGAGACTCAGCAAAGAAAGATTGGAATTGAAAAAAACAACACATGATAATATGACAAAGAGAAGCATACATCATCTTCAGAAGCGGACAGACTCCTTTGTTGAGAAGCAACATCACCCAAATAACCAGGAGTTGAATTCTTTGAAGAAACAAGGATCAGTTTAGTTAGCCTCTGTATCCGACTAAGTAGAGCTGCCTTCTCTTCCTCTTCCTCTTCCAATCTTGATTGCATTTTCACTTGTCCCTCTTCCAACTGTAAAATGAACAAGAATAAGTAATTCAGTACAGAATCCATTCAGGTTAAAAGAAGAACACTCCAAAGAAGCTAATAGGGTACATATTAGACATGCAATTAATTTGACGCGATCTCATCTACCTTTAGTTTAACACATCATTTAACTTTAAATCATACCTGCTGTCTCAAGTTCAAAACTTCTTCATGATTGACACCCACAAGCATCCCCCTTCTTAGCTGATCAAGTTCTTGTTTCAGACATGATATTTCCCTCTGATATTTCTTAATCAGAGACTTTTCATCAATTATCTGAAACAATTATATATAGAACTATCAGCATTCTCTATAGCAATTCTACAGAAAAGAAATGATGCTAAAAGGGCAAACCTGGTTGCGTGATGCATAAATTTCAACACGTTTAGCCCTACTTGCAAACTTTAACGTATTATGTGTTTCCTCCATATTGCTTGAAGCAGGAGTAACAGTACATATGAGCTGCAGATGACAAAAAAAAAGGGACAAATTAGCCATCATAGCTATGAAACATTTAATGTCACAGCAAGCACCGTTAATATCAGATGGAAAAAGTGTGCCTCATTTTTTATTTAAGAGAAAAAGAATGTGGAGCTAAGAGGCTAAAGATGCACAATTCCATATCATTAAGGCTGAAAAAATAAGAGATACGCAGAATAGATAGAACTCCTTGTATGCACTCATCATACTTACAGAAACATGTCCATGTCCACTGAGGGATGATTGGAGTAAGCGAGTAAGTTTAGAATCTCGATAAGGAACATGGCATGCCTTCCCCTCACTCAGTTTTCCAATGACCTAATACATGAGAGCACAATCAATGCATCAGCTTTACAATCAGATTATTATAATCTTAAGCACAGCCTGTAAAGTAGAATGTCGATCATTACACCAAGCAAGGATGAGAAACTGAATTATGACAACAATTCCATGATACAATTATAGTAGGGAACCATGACAGAAATGCTCAATGAGGGATGCTTAGAGTACATACAGTTCCTAGAGTCAGCAGACTTTTGTTAATGTATGATCCTTCCTTTCTCCGTAATCCCGTTGTTTCAGTTTTAGAGCTCTCAGACCCTGCTAAATCAATCAGGTTCTAAGGGGCAAAAAGAGAAAAAGAGTGAGATGCTAATGTAAGCGTTGACATTTGAATACTGAACAAACAGTGCAAGTAGTCATACGAGCTGTGAGAAGATCACTCCATCATACTCATCACCATGGGCACTACTTTCAATCATCTGCAAAATGTGCAAGGAAGTGGACATAATAAGATAGGACTACAAAAACCAAGCACAATGTAAAAGTTGAAAATTTTAAGCAGGGAGGAAGAACTATAACGTAACCAAACTCAAGATTACGACCACAGACTCTGATATAATTAGAGAAATAGATAGTATACGATATATTAATAACCAGGATAGATATTCCAGAGAAATGGACTGTCCATAACAAACCAAAAGATCGGTAATTCAATCCCCTTATGTACTTTAGAACTTGCTTCCATAGACTTCTGATGAAATATATCCAATCACCAATCAGAGTTCCCAAGGATGATTATCAAGTTAGCACCCCATTAAATTAACAGCCACTTAATAATCAGATTCACATATTTCTCAACAGTAACTTAGCAGTATTTCAGGTTGAACAAAGCATTTGTATAACAACGAACCATCTTGTGCTACTTACCAAAGAAAATATCGTGTGACTACGGCTACTGAACAAATTGAAATTATTTGAACCAACATGACGGTGCTCTGCAATACAAAAGATAAAAATCAATATAAATTGTCTTTAACATGCCTTTGGCCGTCACCAATGGGTTTGGAGAGAAAGAATTGGAACATATAGAATAATTACCTTCCCCGGCAGCAATGAATGAAAGAGCATGGCCGGGTGACAAAACAACTTCCTCCTTTATACCCTCAACATAAGTACCCTGAATATTAAAGTCATGTATGAAATATCAAGGACTATACTAATACTAGAATCAACTATTAACAGCAGCATAAACATCAGTAACAAGGAAAAAATAGAGAAGAAAAATCAGGATCTGTAGCTTAGGTGGTGAAAAAACCAATATGCACAAACACCTAAACCTAATATCTAGGTAGAAACCTTAGGAACTATAGCATAGGTGATGAAAAGAACAATATGGAGGCAACATATGTTAGCTTCAGTTTGTTTCTTGATTCACTTTCAGGGTTACTAGAGACTCAAGATACTTATGAGGTTTACAACAGTACAAGTTAAATTAATTCACAAGCTAGAGACGACCAGTTCAGAGATATCATTATTTTTGTGCAAGTGTTTTTTATTTTCTTAAATGATTATCTACAGGTACAGCGATACATCCAGATCCCTCATATGAAAAAATATTCTCATCTTCTGATAAAATATATAGAAAGAAACATCAAGATGACCAGAATCACAACTTCAAGAAAAACTGGCTTTTTAGAAACAAATAGAAAAAGCATTGTCAAGTGCCCCTAAAAAGCAAATCTTATTAGCACAAAAACCTGTGCATCTTCCCTGACACGCAAATTCTGGCCAGTAGGATCCAGCAAGTCATTGATAACCTGACATCATAAATACGGAGAGTACAAAATTAAATTGTGGTAAAAATTGGTATGGAGAAGTTAGAAATGTCTAGAGGTGGCAAGTTCATAAAGACAGATGCTAAATATACACTAAGCACTATTTCACTTTATAACGGAGAAGTTTATGATGCAGCTATGAAGCATATGAGCTCAAAATCTAAACGCATGTAGCATCGCAAGAAACTTATCTATGCAGGAATAACCATGCAAAGCATGATGGTTATTACTCTTTCTAATTAATCTCACTACATTGTATGTGAAAATATTTGTTGATGTGCACCATACTAACCTCGTTGTAGATTTCAATATACGACACTCGAAGTAAGAATTCGCGTCCAGGAGTCTGAAAATTGTGAGAGTAGATTATACTTTCCGTGGAATAATCAATTAGTACTTGAAAAAAGCATGGTTCCTCCATCCTCCATGGAAGGGTATTGAGGAAATTGAATAATGCCATATTGCTCTAAGGTGTCATGCTAGACCAAAAAAAAAAAGGAGCAGCACCGAATTTTCAGAATGAGGTAAACTTTCCGAGCTAACTTACATCTTGAATGATGCTAAAAACATCTTTTATCGCCAAAGGAATTATGCCCGGAGTATTGTGATCTCCCTGTTGAAAGCAAGATTCCAAAAATTAACATTCAGCTAACAATAACTTGTGCACTTGGGCGGAGTGGGACGGGGAGGAGAAAAGCTTCAACTAGAAAAGAGGAAAATGAAGCAAGAAATAATAATTCAACCATCGTGATTCAACAAAACATGCAACAAATATAAAGATTATGCAGTAATACAGGGCAGCAGCTTTGTCAATAGTTAACAACCAAAAGTTCCAAGACAGTTCATTGCACTGTAACTGAGTCGGAGAACTTTCTTTCAATTCAAGGAAAAAAAGATATAACACAAAAGGAAATTAACTTACATGCATAGTGTGTGTCTTTCCACTACTTGTAACTCCATATGCAAATACTGTGCCTGCATAATCAGTAGGTTTCATGTCAAATAACAAAAAAAAAAAACTAACAGATTAATGCAATTAAATCAGACAGCACAGTGTGTCACACATAAATAATAACAGTTCAGTCCCAAGAAAATATACCATGTATTCCTTCCATTGCAGCCTTAACCACAGGTTGAGCAGCTACTTCATAAACATCCTGAGTATTTGTTTGAGGTCCAAACACTCTATCTACCCAGCATCAAAGCAAAAATTACCAAAATAACTATATGAACTTCAAAGAAAATCTAATTCCAAATCAATTACTTTCCAACCCATCTATAAATTAAACATTATTCCCAAAATCTAGGAGAATTTCCACAGCTAGTAGAATCAGAATTAAGATAAACCCAAATGAGCCTAGAATTGTACCAAAGGCATAAGCTGTAGCTGGATTATACTCGTTCCGCACAGTTTTACCACCATCTGCATACCACGCAATTTCATCGCCCTTATGATATTCTCGTTCACTGTCACCATAATCAGACCAATTCAAATACTAACTACATTGTCCCCTAAACTTCAGCTGTACATACATCTAAAATTAGTTAAACCAGATCCAAAACTCACCTCATTGGCCGAAACCTAACCGTCACAGAAATACTATCTCCGGATCTAGACTCATCAGCTGGCTCATCAATCAACTCCTCTTCGGATGGATAACTCACCGGCGTACGATTTTCATAACCTTGTGAGTACACCGAATCGGAACGACTATGACTCGGAGTCATGGATCTGGAATTGTAGCTATTCCCAGAGCCATAAAAAGACGTCGTTGATGAAGAATATGATCGTGGCAACATCCGACCGTTCATGATTGAAGATGAAGATGAAGAAGATGAAGAGTAAGGAGTTGAAGGTTTACGGTAATGAGATGGTGAACTGCTTCTCCCTTTCGATGATGATGATGATGCCATTAACAATCCAGCTCAAGCTGAAGTTCAAGCTGAAGCAAATGCACATTTTGCAGTAAACATCAATATGGATGAAGAATTCAAAAAAAAAATGGTAGTGAGAGAGAGAAGCTTCAATGGTTTAGTTGACTCAACTTCACTGTGTGTCTGTGTGTAAATAGTGAAACTTCATTACTTCTTCTTTAAGAGAAAGAAGAAGAAGTAGAGAGAAGGTGGAGGAGTGAGAAATGAGGAACAAACAATGGTGAAGGTGAGGTGAGTTTGAATTATTTTTGATGATGATACAGTCGAATTTCAAATTTAAAATAATGGAAGGGTAAGTTTGTCTATTTACTCTAAGGGTTTGGGGATTTAATTTTTTTTTAAGGTGCTTAATTTTTATAATTATATTTTATCTGTTTAAATTTATGTGATACTTTTTATTTTTTGAAAGTCAAATAATTTAAGTTTGATAAGAAAATTTGATAATCGAAATCTTTAATTTTTATGACATGACATTTGTATATTTATAAACTACGTAAAAAATATTATAGTCATAATAATTAATAATTCAAAATGTGTAAAAGATCTATAAAAAAATTATGTCAAAAGAAAGACTTATTTGAATTTCGAAATCTAAAAAGTGTCACATAAATTAGATGGGATATGGGAGTATTTGTTCAGTTTATCTAGGTTTTTTTCTTTCATATTTAGTGAAATTTTTGAATTTTTTATTGTTTACGGTTTAAGATTAGATATTTGAATTTCTCTTCATATTTTCCTTTTTGTTTAACGAAGTTTGATATTCTTTATGAGATAAATTACACTTTCACAAAGACAATAGTAGAAAGTATGATTTAAATTATATACTATAAATTTTTTACTTAATAAGTGTTTATTTGCCTCATAAATTCAGTTAATATGAATTAACAAAAGAATCATTTAAAAGAAAAATGTCACATATCTTTATTTGACAATTATTTAATAGCATTATTTCAACTGTATCTCTAAAATATTTTATTGTAAAAAAACGTCAATTTAAAATAAATATTAAAATAGCTTTAAGGCATGTTATATAAATATGTTGTAATTTGACTTTATTTATATTTATATCTTTAATTTGTGTGTGTATAAATAGAAACTTAAACTTGTATTAAATTGAACAAATAAACATAAACGTGCATCCTCTTGACACACTTATGTTGAAAGACGTAAAATGAGATCAAATTAAACGACATATTTATATATTATATCTGATTTTAAATAAGGATAATTCGATAAATATAATTTTTTTAAAAAATATTATCTTAAAATAGGGAAAAGGGTCAAATATACCCCTGTACTTTTCGAAAAGGTTTAAATATGTCCCCCGTTAAAAGTTTGGTCCATTTATACCCTCGCCGTCCAATTATTAGTACAAATAAGCCCTTATGGGCGTTAGTTGGTCACCTCAAAATATCCAACGCATTTTACTTTTTTTAATTACCCAAATGGATTTTCCACGTAATTTTAATATTACAGCGTGGCATTTATATTACAAAAGAGAAAGGGTCAAATATGCCCCTAAAAATTCGGCCCATTAAACCCTTTTATTACCCATATTTTATGGTTCAATTATACCCCTTTTATTACCCGTATCAGACCCAAAACCCATATGCCTTTTCCCCCAATTTTGAACTATCAAAGTTATGAAGATTGCATAGTTTTGTAATTGCTGTTGAAGCTTGAAGAGAACTGTAGGGAAACTATGAAAAACCAAAAACATGTTGCTTTTGGTACCATCTTATTATTATTTTCATGCTCGTCCTCCTTCAACTGGTCCCTCTGCCTAGTGGTTTATAAGGAGTGCTTTGACGCTTAGACTTCTCTGGAAAGGGGATTTAGTCCTAAGCTTGTTCATAGCAGGGTGCTGATCTACAGTTTGCCTGTCATGAAAAGAAATTCGTGATTCTGTTCTGCTCTCTCTCTTCTTGCTGGTAATATCCCCCGGGCTGACAGTGTTTTACCTTTTCTTGATCAGGGCATTACATTCCACAGTTAGTTGGTGCTCTTTTAGACCACAATGAGCACTCAAAGGAATACAAGTTCAACAATAAAGGAGTTGCAGTAAGCGGACGTTTAACCCCCCTTATGCATACCTTAATAAATTTCTTTATCTTCATTCTTATCTGAAGCAATTTTTCTATGTATGTTCGTTAAACATTTTCATTTTCTTTGTCAGATTGGGAATCCACTTCTGAGACTTGATCGTGATGTTCCCGCAAACTATGAATACTTTTGGTCTCATGGAATGATTTCTGATGAATCAGTGCGACTTTGACGATTATACCTTTGGCAGTCCACACAATGTTTCACAAGCATGCAATAATGCCACATCTGAAGCAAATACCATTGTTGGTCGGATACGGGTAATAAAAGGGTAATAAAATTGGGGGAAAAGTGATATGGGTTTTGGTTCGGATACGGGTAATAAAAGGGTAATAAAAGGAGTATAATTGCACCATAAAATATGGGTAATAAAAGGATTTAATGGGTCGAATTTTTAGGGGCATATTTGACCTTTTCTCTTTTGTAATATAAATGCCACGCTGTAATATTAAAATTACGTGGAAAATCCATTTGGATAATTAAAGAAAATTAAAATGCATTGGATATTTTGAGGTGGCCAACTAACGCCCATAAGGGCATATTTGTACCAATAATTGGACGGCGAGGGTATAAATGGACCAAACTTTAAACGGGGGCATATTTAAACCTTTTCGAAAAGTACAGGGGCATATTTGACCCTTTTCCCTTTAAAGTATAATATCTCATCATATTATGTCACATAAACTAAGATCTTAAAGAAAGTATCGTCTTATTGTGAATATTGAATAAGGATAAATATAATTTGATCAATTTCAACCGACAAAATATGAAAATGATCATTAAAATTAACGAAAATATCAAAATTTTCACGTCTTTTGACTAGTAGAGAGTAAGAAATGACTTCAACTGAGATTTTCTTTTCCGATTTAATCTTGTGCCTCCAATTAAAGCACTAACTATGTAAAAATATAAAAATTTTGTAAAAGAGAATGACTACAAATTAAAAAGGAAAAAAGTCCATTATTAAAGAAATAAATCCATTAAAGAAAAATGTAAATTGGATAAGAAGGTTGCAATCGCCTTCGTCGTTGAGTTTGAAAACTTCAAAAATTATCATGCTCAGGCCTCAAAACTCAATTAGTTTCATAATAATAATATTAAATTATAATTCTAAGGTTATAATCTCATCTTTTATACAACCATAATCCCAAAATGTTGTAACAAATTTATTTTGATTTTAGCTAAAACCTACAACAAATTTAATTCTAATTTTTATGCTATAATAGCTTGTTCTACGTGAAATTTTTCTTTTATATGAAATCAAATTTAATAAGATTTCAGTGCAGATATCAAACATCGTATGGAGGAATTGAAAAAATAAAAAATAACTTGTCCTAAAGCCAAATAGCCTTACAACATCATTGAATAAGATAATAATTAGAGCTCGGTCAAATTGACTTACAAAAATTAATTTTTAAATTTAAAATAAAAAATCAAACCTAAATTACTTTTGACTCAAAAATATAAAAAACAAAAGAGACCTATTTTTAATTTTAAATTTATTTTGAATTATTTCACAACTTGTCAAATATTTTCTAATTTATTTTAAATTATTTTTATATTTATCAATCACTTTACTTAACCTTAAAGTATTAAGCCAAACAATTTAATTTGCTCTAATCTTAAAAAGACCATTGAGCTAAAATTCTAATTCGGGTTGGATGCGAGAAAATATTTTCTTATACATCTACCTAATATAATATTAATTTAGGCATAATGATTAATATATGTTTTTCAACTTATAAATATAAGAATTTATTTATATGTTTATTTATTGGTCATTATTAATATTTATGTTTTAAAGCTTTAGACATATATTTAAATTATCATAATATAAAATTAATGAATAGACGCATTTTACCTAGCAAATCATGTTTACAAATTCATATTATTAATTTTAAAATTTTCCACACAATGAGCTCATTTGAAATCTCTACTAAATTTGAATCATACACAAATTTGAAGATCACGCTCCCAGTAAAATTTTATTCATACCTAAGAGTCAAATTCAAGACTTTTTATCAACGATTTATTCAAGGAACGTAATTTCCACTAAAAAAAATTCATACTCAAAATTTAAATTCGAGATCTATAATGAAGGATATACACTAATTAATATGGTTTCATATATGTGCCAAATGTGTTTTTTTTTTAATTTTTTCATCTGATATTTAAAACTCAAATTATAATTTTAACTTAATTTAAATTATATTTTATATAATTCATTCGAGAGTGACCCTCCCAATAAAAATCGGTGCCTAAGCGGTGTGTAATTGGGGCCTAACTTGTTACGGTAACGTAAAGAGAAGTGGATTTGGCCGCGCTCTGCTTTTATTTGAAAACTCAAAATTCATCAAATCAATGTAAAAGTGACCAAACAAGGTAGGGACTTCCACTGTTATTTCAATTTGGTTAACTTGTAAAAATTTCATTTTTAGTAATATAGCTACCTCCATTTTATTTTAATTAATTTTTATATTCAAAAATAAATTTTCATTTTATTAATCTTTATTATTTTTTCAATTTCTTTTTATACGTTTAGATTATACTTGCATTATATGTCACATTTTAATTCATTATGCTTCTTTAATATTTTCTTAAGTCAACTTTTTAATAAATGATAAATATGTTAGACTTTAAAAATTAAAATCCATTTGAATGACTATTTAAATTTTTAAATTTATTTTAATAATAAGATTTTATAGAATACTGAACGGAGAGAGTAATTAATCAATGTATAAAGTAATTCATTGAATATTAATTACTTATTAGTTTTCCTAGGTTGGTCAAAGTATATATTTTTAAGACTAATTAATTACTTTGTCAAAAATATAATAGGAAGTATATAATAATTTAAGCATTAATTTTTATGAAATGATGAATATTACAATCCAACTATTTATAAAAAGTGATGTATAAAAAGACACGGAGTATTATTTACTTCCTCTATTTCTATTATATGTTACTTCTTAAATTTCACTTCTTTTTAGAAATTAGGGAAATTAATTATTGTACACTTATTTAATGTTTTCTTGAAATTATTTAATCAAATAGAATTAATTTATTTTCATTAATTAAATTGATCTGAATTAATCATTTAATTTTTTTATATTTGGTCAAATTCATACTTTTTAAAGCTAAAACTT